AGACTCGGATTGGGGACTTCATTTCTTATCACATAAACTCTTGCAACTGCTATTCAAAGTTTACTATCTAGCTTATCGCTATTTTCTGTAGTTGTATAAACAACACACACAGCGTTAAAATCATTCCAGAGAGGAGTAAGTCAGAGGTGTTTTACTATTCAAGTCAGGTGATGTCATTGAAGCAAAACTTCAAGTCGAGCTAGACTTCACTTCAATTCCTCATCTGTGATTAATTCAGAGAATGTCATTGGTAGATTCACATCACATATGACTAATAGTCTTCTGTTTAACGTACTGTGTTCCACACCGTGCAAATGTAGCAGCATTTACATGGGTGTCTTTTTCAACAAAAAAAACGTAAGTCTACATGGCGATAGTGATATGAATCGTCTATCCTATTTAACTTTTGAAAACAATGATATGATTAGAAATGGTATCATACTTCCTAAAGATCTATTAAAACAGTATGTACATATTTTATTATAGTGATTGCACTTTTCGGATTATACTAATGACAGGATTTTGTGGTCCATCCAACGGATCACCCAACGAGTTATGCTAGAGGCAAGCTTCTATTGATTTTAAGAGGAACAACAAGTCAACTATGTTATATTATATATAAAATTGACATCATCTTTACAGTATGATCTTTAACTTTTTTTGGCCCACCTTTAATAACAAGTAACCTTCATCGTCAAGCGATTCACTTAGCCCTAGACTGATAGAATACATGTACGGATGTAATAACATAAAAAGCTATATTAAAAAAGTAATACGCAAAATTGATAATATTACCAGTATATCTTAGGCGACCAGTAAACTTAATTTGGAGAATTCTCACTCTAAGTAAAGATGATGCATTTACAAATTTAATTTTTTTTATCGTTTTTGTTTTATTTTTTTTTGCTTTTATAAATATAAATAGCGCCCAATAAGATTAGATAAGAATACGATTTTTTTTGTAATTATATTGGCGCTATTTGTACGTACAAAAATATGAATTATATTATTCATAAAATTTGAGTTTTATTAATCAATATTTTATGCTTAAATTCGCGCATTAATTCTAAACTATTAATAAATTAGATATTCATTGATACAACATTGCATAATCAATCCTACAATAATGAATAATTTAAACGATTTCTTTAAATCCATACTACTCATTTGGTCTGACTCTCACTAATTAAATGCTTTTGTAAACCGTTTTATACCACTACCCGAATTATAGTTATTCCATTGACATTTTACCCATGATTATTATGGGTTCATTTACATCAGTCTTTAGATGGTCATTTGTACCATAGTTACCGGAATAGTTGTTTGTACCATGGTTGCTATATGGTCA